TGTATATGTATATTTATATGTATATTTATATGTATATTTATATGTATATTTATATGTATATTTATATGTATATGTATATGTATATATATGTATATATGTATATGTATATGTATATGTTATATGTATATTTATATGTATATATGTATATGTATATGTATATGTATATTTATATGTATATTTATATGTATATTTATATGTATATTTATATGTATATTTATATGTATGTATGTATATTTATATGTATATTTATATGTATATTTATATGTAATATTTATATGTATGTATATTTATATGTATATTTATATGTATATTTATATGTATGTTATATGTTATATTTATATATATTTATATGTATATGTTATATGTATATTTATATGTATATTTATATGTATATTTATATGTATATATGTAATATTTATATGTATATTTATATGTATATTTATATGTATGTATATTATATGTATATTTATATGTATATATTATTATTTATATGTATATTTATATGTATATTTATATGTATATTTATATGTATATTTATATGTATAATTATATGTATTTATATGTATAATTATATATAATAATTATATGTATAATTATATGTATAATTATATGTTATATGATATGTATAATTATATGTATATGTATATATTATAATGTATAATTATATGTATAATTATATTAATAATTATATGTATAATTATATGTATAATTATATGTATAATTATATGTATAATTATATGTATAATTATATGTATAATTATATGTATAATTATATGTATAATTATATGTATAATTATATGTATAATTATATGTATAATTATATGTATAATTATATGTATAATTATATGTATAATTATATGTTAATTATATGTATATTATATATGTATATATGTATATTTATATGTATTTATATGTATATTATATATATATATATATATATGTATATATATATGTATATATATATGTATATATATATGTATATATATATGTATATATGTATATATATATATATAAAATGTATAATATTTACTTGTATGTTTCTTTATGTTTTATAGTTACATTTATAGAAAATAAAGAAGAGGACTACAGTTTTGCTAAACATCTTTAGTCTTCATTTGAGTTGAAGGCTTAAATTTTCATGCGCAAGACCCAAAATAATATAACGGTAGATTGTGATATTGAACAAGGCAAATTAAGATTGATTAGGTTTAATAACAATCCTTACATATTAATACAGAAAGTAAACCTAACAAAACAATAATAATGATCCCCCGTAAACATAAAAAACGATACTGAGTGAAGACGTACCAAAAGAGCTAAGCACTCGTCTCCCAGAGGACTGTGTGGCCGTGATAGTGGTGAGTAGCACAGGTTCTCTCCTTTGGATATGTATGGGACTCAAGATGAAGATGAGGCCTATGTTTTGTAATAAAGTATTTAACAGGATGGACAGAGGAAAGGAGAGTACTTTTCCAAATTGTCTTTTGCAACAACTACCAATCTCAGGAATGATTAATATCAGTGTCTTATGTGTTTTTTTTTATTATTATTATTTTTTTTTTTATTGTGTTTAGACATTGTGCTTCAAATTCTCCTTGTTTACTAACATGTTGGATCTGGTTGCATCATGGAAATCACAGTGCCAAAAATACAGGCAGTGGGTTACGCAAGTAGCCAACATCCTGGGTGTGTGGTTTGTAGGCCAGGCATTTGCGAACACCCATGAACAGTGACAAGACTCTGTGCCTCTCCTTTTCAAAGTTATTATTATTATTATTTTTTTAGCTTTTTTGCTATTTTTCAGTGTCCATATTTGTCTTGATTTACTTTATCCAGATGGTAATTGCTTATTTTCCTTGCACAGATTCCATATCATCTCACTGTGTACTAAATAACTGAGTACAAGAAAAAAATATGGAACATTTGGTTATTTGTGTCATATATTTTATTTTTTGTAATTTTCAATTTTCCGTAATACAACCTGTGCCGCTGGTCACAGTGGCCAGGAATTCGTTGGGCAGCATAGAAATAGTGTTCTCCTTGGAGCTAGTGCTCTCCCAGTCACTGCTAACACATGTTACATTTCACATTCATTTATCTATGGGACTAATGCTAAAGCTCCATTCTAAGCGCCAAATGAGTCAAATCACACTACAAGAGGTTTGTACACTTACGGCAAATCTTTTCCATCACCCTAGACGGCATGTTTGTATCACCCGGCCCTGGACCCAGATTTTCCATGATGGGACTGTAACATCATCCGGATTGTAGGAGTTAATTCAGTTTAGATCATCTCTTTCTCCTGTCTCTGATTCCCAGATTTTCTTATATCTTTTGTTACTAATTATTTTCTGAATTGAATAATTTCTTACTCTTTTTCCTGAGCATGATTTTCCTTCACATTTCCTGAATTGCATTTGCTCCTTCTACCCTGAGCAGGTTCCGGCAGCTACTCCAGCACGAGCGGGGCAATACAATGGCCAGCGGCAATAGCAGCGGCATTGGGTCCTCGCTGTTCAGAGGGGCGCTCCACGGCAACACTAGCAACACCAACAACCAGTCAGGTCACCAGGTCAACCAGACTCACCATCACCACCACCCCCAACAGCAGCAGCACCATCACCACCACTCCGTCACCCTTCACAGTCAGCAGGGGGTTGGGGTGAGTGGATGGCGTTTAGATGGCAATGGGAGGTCTGGTAGGCAGATGGGACTTGGGTCTAGGGTTGGTAGGCAGATGGCAAAGGGACTGGGGTCTAGGGTTGGTAGGCAGGGTTTAGGGATCAGAGGCTGGGTTTGGGGTTGGAATATGAAGTGGTTTTGGGTGAGTTGTAGGGGCCTGGAGCAGAATTCAGGTACTTTGATGATAGACTAGAGAGTGTGGCACATCTCTCCAAGGTCTCAGATAAAGCAAGGTAACTAGACAATTGCAGATGTGCAAAGGACATCCGAGTCCTCGTAGCTGTCCCTCTTTCATGTGTCGAGTGAGCCAGACCCATTTATATAGTTTGAATCTGGTCAAAGATCTGAAGTTTGAAAGGGTTCATGGTTAAATTCTTGAGTTTGAATTACATATTGTAGTAATAACTTAATGATAGAATTGAAGTGATTGAGTTATACATTAGGCCTCTGTATCAGTTTCCCGGTTGTGCTAGTAATGCAAGGACAATGCCAAGGATGAGGAATTTATGTACTTTCCAGACTGGTGTTGAAGTACAATTAGGGTTGGGCTGGGTTGTATTTGCCCATATATATACACTCTGTTAGTTATGTCATTATCATTTTGGAGAGGAACATTTTCCTTTTATCTTAACATTTTTATTTTATTTTAACAAAAGACATTGTTGATGCAGGTTTGGTTTACGAATACAGTATCATTTTACGAGATAATGATGAGTAGTAACCAGTAAACGTACATGATGACCAGTAGAATTAATCTTCTTTATTGTTCTGATCCATCCTTATTATGTGGGTCAGTAAGAGGACACTCCTTTCCCTAGAAAGAGAAAATTCTCCCCTTCAGTGCACCACCTGTGTTCTTCCTCCACTCAGGTCTCGGCTCAGGGTTCCCACCAGGGCCAGTCGCAGCCACCACCCCCTTCGCAGCCCCAGCCCCAAGCGTCCATGGGCTCTTCGTCCTTCAGCTCTGAAGAACCGCGGCAATCAAGGGGAACGCCTGGAGTGAGAGAGGTGTGTTCATATCCAGGGTTGTGACTTTCTGCACTTGTTTTTCTCTTTGTACCCTTTGGAATATTGGGAATGTGCGTTTTTTGGCATTGATTAAGATCGTATTCTTAGGTACTATTTTTTTCTCCTTATTTTTTCTCCACAAGTATGAATATTCATTTTATTTCTAAATGTATTGTGTATGCATTACATTGTTTGTATTATATGTAACATGAACATGCATGCCTTTATTTGGACATTGGACATCGTGGAGATGTTGGGTCTCTTTCAGTCTTTTACAAGATTGTAACCGATAATTCAGATCCCCTTTATAAGTTTTTACCTGATTTTTATCAACCAGCAAGAATTACAGGAAGTTCTATGACCCTCAATTCAATGACATTTGATGTAAGTCGATCATCTACAAGGCAGTTTTCTAGATGCCTTTTTATTGCTATTTGTAGACTTTGGAATAGATTTCCTTCAGAGATTGTAACTTTTCCGACTCTTGGTAAGTTTAAAAGATCAGCGAACATGTTTTTCGTATGTAATAGCTGACTTTCTATTCTTTCATTCTTTCTTAGCTGTATCTTGACCTGCACTGATACCTTTGGTTGTATATATCTTAATTTTTTTCAGTGTGGCTCTTTATATGGCTTACTATGATAATAATGATAATATATGATTTATGGTCTTGTATTATCATTCAGAGTATTTAAAGCATGGGTTTGTCTTTGATTTATTGATGATAAAGATCCAGACTACAGAATTATTAGACAAGATCACATGCAAGATTGCCAAGCTTGGTAACAAAGGTCTTTCCCTTGCAGAGTCCCGATCATATGTCTACATTGATGGCCAAGCTCTGGTTTGACCACAATGTAGAGTCCTCGCTCTCCTCGTTGAAGAAGGAGGAGCATGAGAAGCGCACCAAGGACTTGCGCAAGCAGTTGGAGTACATCGCAGACACCAACTGGAAATACTTACCCGTTGAGAAGTACATAGGGCAGCAGTAATGGGAATGGGGTTCAACTCAATGACTTTTTGTGCTGTGTTTGATGTGATAATTGATAAATGATAAAGGATTACGAAGAACTTTTTTCAGAGGACAAATGTGAACTGTGAGGAATTTTTTACTTTTAGTACTTAAATTAAAGTTAAGAGTAAGGAATTGGTGCTGCAGTGTTCATGGTCCTGATTCTTTTGTAGATATTTCCTATAGAAGATTTCCGAGCTAGAGATCAATTCAGTTTTTATATCGTTTGACCCGAAAGACTTTCCTCTAAAAGATTTCGGAGCTAGAGATCAATTCAGTATTTCTATCGTTTGACCCAAAAGACGACCACAAACAGAACTGATCATGATAACATTAGTTCAGAAGGTTGTGAGCTACATAGTGAGAGGCAAAGAGAGCAATGGGCCCCAAAGTGATGAACTGGAAAGACCAAGACTGGAGGACTTCATAGATATCAGTCCACACAGCTTGGAGTCATGGAACTTCGAGGGCACAGTGACCTCAGTCGATGGATGGAACATTGTCATTAACAAGGACATCTACTATGAGGTCCAGAAGCCCATGACACCAAGCAGCTTCAGTGTGGGTGATAGAGTAAGTGGCGTTGCACACAGAAGGAGCAACACAGAGGCATGGCGTGCCACTGATGTCCAGCTCCAGCAAGAGGCCTGGGATTCGGCCAACAGTAACTCCACCACTGATGGAAACCCCCAGATCCAGGAGTATGACAGTAGATCAAGAAGCTTGGGTTCGGGACAGAAAGATGCAACCGTCATCTCCTGCAGGGAGCTGGAGGCTGGCATCCCTGGCATCTTCAAGCAAGATCTGCTCTCCTCAAGTCTCAGAAAGAACAGCAGACCAGAGGACGCATCCTGCACCTCGCATGAGGGAGATACTTCTTCAGAGCTGATACCTGTGGAACAATGTGCCATTGGGAAAATCACAGGCATCTTTGGCGACTCTGTGACCTTGAACGAGAACCTGCATTTCAGGTTCTGTCCTGCGGAATGTAGCTTTCAGTTGATGAAAGGTAATTATACACATGTTGATGTATTGATTAAGAGTTAGTAGTTTGTGTTATATGTGTGTTGTGACTTGTCTTATGGTGTCCAGTAGTTTTGTGTGAACTTGTGAGGTCTCTTGGCATAGATTTAGATTATTTTAAGGGCTAAGGGAAGCATCTGTTGTGAAAAGTATCTACCACTACAGTAATGATTGTGACAATAAAATTCAAAAACAAATTCTGAAAGATCATCCCACGAACAGCATTTTACATTTTTAGAACATATTCAAGTTCTGTTTACATGAGCCAAAATTAAAATCCCACCCCTCCTAATGTTTGGACAGTGAAAAGCGGATACATCTTCAAAGATTCAATTTAATAGTTGTCTTTAAAAGTTCTTTCTCCTCTTGTAGGGACATGAGTCCTTTACCACTGCTGGATTCATTATAAACCTCAAGGCCCCTTTTTGCTTGTAAGATACTTATGGACAAGGTTGATGGCAGAAATTGGATATTTTCCCATGGCTTTAGAAAAAAAATCCCTTTACTTATTGAGAATGGCTTTATTGTTGTGTACCAGTGTATAGAAAGGATGTGAGAGATATGGTAAAGCAGTAAATAAGGCAAGTTAGAAAAAAAATAATGAGTTAGTCAAAGGGTTATGGAATATTGTCCTCCATATGATTTCATTTCTCGCCTTTCACAGCAAGAGTGTTTCTGACGTGATAATGTAAGTGGACCTTGATTTAATAGATTTTTTTTTTTTTCCTTGGGAGAAGTGATTTTTTGACAGTATTATCTTCCTTAGGTGTTAGATATGTCAATATTTATTTATCTATAGAATAAATAGATGTGATTCCTTGATCCTTCTTTTTTATGGCATACCCTGTTGGATATACTGTTATTTAGATTTTTTCATCGTAACTTGATTTTGCTTTCTTTAAACCCATTTATAGCAGCCATTTTTTTAGTGATTGCATTTAACTAGCTTTACCGTGTAAGTATTAAATTTTACACACATTTGGATGCACCTGTCTATAGATAAGTGTATTGGGAGATGGGCTCTGAAGTACGACACACGCAGTATGATAGGAAAGACACTATAACTGTGGTAGTTTGAGTCAGGTGAGACAAAATCTCGGTTAAAAAAGATTTAAACCCATATTTGGAAAAAAGGAAAGAGACAGAAGAAAAGTGAACAAGAAAAGAAATGTGTATTTGTGTTTGTCTTGTTTGTATGCTTGTTTTTCAGGATCTATATGGTTTTGGGTTCCTTTTCTGTCTATGAATTTTCAAAGTGATTATGGATGAAAATGTTATACAAGGAGTTTACGCTATTCATTCACTATTTATTCTAGGTACTCTTTGATAGTTATAATGCTTGATTTTTTTACATTTAGATTAGTAGTAAGTAAATATTGAGGTAGGGATGCGAGAGAGAATTATTTTGAATTTAGATTGTGGTTGCTTCTGTATGAGGTCATTGAAGTGTCAGTGTGCATGAGTAAAGCATCTTTCGCTTTCAGTGTTTAGAAGCTAGAGTTGCCCTAGTTTTTTATATTTATTTATTTATTTTTTTATTTCTAGGGTATGGATGTTGGTGGTATTCCAAGTTTTATTTGTTGTAGTGTAAGAAAGAAATGGTCTGTATTTATTCATGGTGATTTATGAAATAAATAATTTTGGCACAATTTTTTTTTGCTTTAAAAGATTGGATATAATCGTATCAGACACACCACAAGGTTGATTTCGCGAGTTTTTCAGTAGAGTATTGTCCATTCGAACCCCCTGCCCAGAAAATGAGGAATAATTAATGTGCAAAATAAATACCATTAAACAAATACCATTTTTGTTTTTCCAAATTTGAGAAGTTGCCCTGAAAGTTTGAATATTTTGTTTTCTACACTCTGTGGGAATTTAATGCTGGGTAATCAAACCTATTGCCATTTTCTTTTACGTACTCTGTTTGCATGTAGATAGCTCCACAAGTGCCCAGTTACCAATGGGACAATTAGTAGGCTTTTGCGTCCTGAAATGAATTCCCCATTCCTTGAGGTTACCTGAAAAATAGTTTTAGTCTAATGCTTTTAAAAACAATGTTGGCATTATTGTTATTGAGGTTATGATTATTATCTTGTTATTGACAATACTAATGGTAATGAAAATTAGTAAAAGGATCTTTCTGAAGATCATGGAAAGGGTTAAACTGGGCAAGGCTATTAATTGACTGCCTGGTGATTTAGCTCTTGTGGATCCATCTATTTGAACAGACAAGTAAGAGGGTAAAGATGCAATGGACATGGCTTTTAACAGAAGGTTAAATATATGTTTTACAGTATAGAGGTCTTCACAGATGGGAGCTTCTTGTTTTATTTTGATTAATGTGGAACATGAAAACTATACATAAAAGCATATTTGTATGCATATATCCATACATGTAATAAATGGATACTCATATACATACCCATACCTAAATGTGTACACACACACACACACACACACACACACCACACACACAACACACACAC